TTCGTAGGGATGCATTCAACACTAGTTCGTTTTCTTCATAATTCCACAATTTTCTTGTGCTAATTACAAGCGAAAGAGATTGTGTGAGCTGTCATAAATCCAATAAAGCTTGAATGAAATTCAGTTCTTAGACACCATCAGCTAACGCTTAATTAAAATTTTAAATTAGTCAGTCAGAAAAGGCGAGAGAAGGCATCGTGAGTCCATATCAGACTCCAAATAGACAAAGGAATTCAAATTTCCAAGCAATCGGACATTTTTAATAAACTTAATAACCCTCCCGGTTTGTGACGCTATGGCATGGGCAGAATACATTAAAATATATGATTCCTCATGGTGAAGGTCTTTCATCAATTTATTCCTTGTTCAAATAAAGACCATCCACTTTACGGTTCGATAGTTTATTGTTTTATTCTTCTTGCCCAGAGAGGGCAGAAAATTGAGGTTTATCGTTTTTTGCTTCCCGCCCATAAGCGCGAAAGTTTTGTGATCAAGACATATAAGAACTATTTTGATTTTCAACTTGCGGTTTTCTGAAATCTGTGGTCTGTGATATCAGAATCTGTAGGATCTACTTGTTTACCATTTCAAAACTGCTATCTGTTTTTTATTGTGTTATCGGATCAAAGTTCTTGAAACCCAAAAACATCATAAAACTTTGTTTTTGTCATTTCAAAGTTGTTGGTGATTTTTGGTTGTGAACAAACAAAAATTTGAGATCTCCTAACAGAAAATTTATTTTATTACGATTGTCAAGCTGATTGTTTTAATATATTGACACTGCTCCCAAGTATGTAACAACTCATCGTAGGGTCCAGTAGGATGGACGCTTTTGCTTTATTTGGTAGAGACAATTTATTGCTGGTTACTTACCATACTTCTTGTATGAACTATGGCTTTCATGGAGAGTTTTGAACACTGCTGCTGCAACTTGTTAGCACTTTAAGAAGCACAAAAACTCTATAATGAAGTACGTTTGTAATATTATTAATAACTTTTGGAGGTTACGATCCGAACTTCATCAGAAATCTCAGTGAATGGATCTCGTATATTTTGGGAACAATCTGTCAGTTAGTACCTTAGAATCATCATTGACAAGGGGTTGACCAGGAAAATTTCTTTTCGGCAGGTTTTTCCTCGGTTGTATAAAATGTTCATTAGACCCACAAGCATCTACGCATGCGCAGCTGGGTATTTCCTCGCCAAAACGCACATGCAGAGAGTAAAAGTCCTCCAAAACAGTACTTACAACCACTAACGCCGCATGGTACGTGTAAAATGAGAGCATTCACAGAGATCTTGACATCCAATATCTAAGGGATTACGTGAAACAACAGGCAACCATCAGATGTGTGATTCGATAAACTACACAATAGAGCAACTTCGATCAAAATCAATTCGTCAATTTTAGACAAACCAAAAATATTTCTTCACAAAACCGATCAAAATTATTTTTGGAATAACACAAAACACACAACAAAATTATTCGAGTGGTCAGACCAATACTGCTTAAGTGTTTCCTCAAATAAATTATTTCTTTTCTTTGCTTTATTCTTTCCCTTCTTTTCTTGTTATCCTTTTCCCCTTAGACTTGTGTGGTATCTGGTTAACCAGATTTGACAGACTAACAGGCAGATGAGACTTTTAACTAAGAGTAAAGGTGCTCTTGTAAACCACCTGGCACTATAATACCGCTCACAGAAATGGAGTGTAGATTGACTGGTGAAAATTTACTCTGGAAAACTTTGAAACGTTATTTTTAAAACCCCTAAATTATTACTGGTAATATAATGACACTTGACAGCCGATTAATTTCTAATCACGTTTTTTGATGAGCACGGGAAGAAAAGCGCACTTTTGACGTGCTAGAAGGATTTCTTTGGGACAGATGCATCAAACAGTTATAAATGCTAAAACCGATACAGAACAGTACAAGGTACACTTTGTAACAATTTACGAACGGAACCCTGGTGGACAATACAGGTGCTGAGTCATGTTGCCTTCGAGTTAAGGTAGGGGGTATAGGTCACAGTTCCGGCGAGAACAGCCGCCATGACTCCATTCCAAGTTTTTTTTCGAATAAATCGTTTATTTTAATAATTGTTTCACTAAATTTGTATACCAAATATGTTTCTTTTGATATACACTTATGATATGCACATGCTATACTTTATCCACCTATAGTCTCAAAACTTTCCTACATAATCGGGCGTTCGGTGATGTAGCTTTTTCTACAGATATGCCAACGGTACTCTTCCCCATGATGTCACGTTCTGGGCTCACTAGATGGGAACGCTAAACTGCTGTTTCTCATTCAGGCTCTATAAATCAGTAGCCTAACCTAGCCGATACTATCGCTCGTTTGCTCTACGTTATCGAAGATCTTTAAGAAGAGTCTTAACTGGTTCGATAAGTTGCCTTCACCGTTTTCAAATGTTTTACAACAGCCACTGTACTCAAGCAACTAGGTTTTGCCTTCGCGGTTACTCAAGCACACAGGTTGTTCGAAAGGTTTCCGATATTCGAAAATGACCTTGACAACGACTTTGATAGTGACATCTAGATGGCTTCAAAAAGAAAATTTCATTTTCGTGCCACAAGTGGGTCAAAAATTACGTTTCCCTTTAAATTTGCGATTTGTTCTCTAAGATTATGGTCCAAATCATTCCCGAACATGAAATTGTTAACTCTTTCCATTGCTGGTGTCAAAATGGTATGTATCCATTTAAAACTTCCATTTGAACATCTAATTGAGTTATTTTCAAGGTCAAGGTTCTCTCAAAACTCTGTAAGCTTCATTTCGCCTATTTTTTCTTTCAAAAAACTTTATTAATAAAATAGTATAATTAGAATTTTATCGCTCTTTTAATCCGAGGAAGGATCTACGAACAGACCTTAAAATGACTTTTCACTAATGCTATTGCTGCCTCCCAGTTTAACGCCAGCAACGCTTCTTTATTCTATTTTTGTCACCGACACCGAATGCCGTATCATTCGTCATGACAGATGATAATATCCGTGTTGTCATGTCACGTCGGGTGAGCGAAGTATGTTGTCGTGTTTGTCTGGCTGACATCGCCTTATGCCCTTGGGAATTCTCTCCTCAATTCTACCGGATTTATCCGGCTTACTTGCTATTCTGGGCGTCGAAGCTGACGTCGCTGCTCCCCCAAATAAGTGAAAGCCGTATTAGTTCCGATCTGGCGACGTGTCCATCTGCAGAAAACAGCTTCATCTTTGTGCATCCAGGAGAATGCTTTTAGAACTTTTTTCCAGGTGAATCATAGGCCTTTTCGAATATATAGTGTGACACTCAAACTCATCCACCCGAAGAGTAAGACTCTCCAAAAATCTTTTCTTCAGGAACTTTTTGCGGATAGATAATAACCCTTGGAATGTTTCCCGAACAATATCTCGAGGTTATAAGTTCAGACAGTTACAGTATAACCTAATCGTTTCGAAGAAGTTTGAAAATAACGTTGTGCTTATAAACACATCTTTTTTGTCCGCCATATTGGACAAGTGGCGCCCGAAAGCAGTCTAGATATGATAATATCTCCTTTTCGATTCAAACGAAGTCGTTTGAATGGAGGAAAAGTTGCGTATTTAGGTAACTAACAAAATATTTTTTAGAAAGCTTTATAATTCAATTACTGCCGAAAATAGACGGAAAAAACGAATTTTCCCAAAATCGTTTTGATTTGATTCTGACTTTATTTGTAGCGGAGTTTAGAAGTGAATTGCACATTAACGTTGCCACTGTTTCTCCTCTGCAAGATGAAATAAACAGAATTTTAATATGACATTTCGCCTATTGTCCTCCAGCATCAACTTTATTTCTTCTTACGGCCGCCATATTGGATTTTTGCACAGGTAAATAGAGTTTTTAATTCTGATTCCAAAAATGTATAACGTGTCATACATTGACATTTCAAAACTATTCCAAAAAGCAGAGTTTCCTAGGTAGACCTTGAAATTATCAGATTTATTGTCGTTGTTAATTTCCTGGATTTATTTGAAATATTATTTTAATAGAAATTGCATATTAGCATTGCCAATATTTCTCTTCTAAAGAGGACATAGTCAAATCTGCAATGAGACGTTTCTGCTTTCGATCTACATCTTCAACTTTGTATTTTTCTTATGGAAAGCACTGTCATATCAAGTTTTCAAATAAAAACTTTTTGTTAGCAGAATTATCGTTTAAATATTTCCAATTATGAAAAATTCGTTTTAAATTTTTAATTCATTTTATCAACAATAAAAGCTTATTAAAATTGTGTTTTTTTTTAAATTTTATTCATGTTTATTACCAACAGCCAGATTGTTGTACCCTGTTTCTATGTATATTGAGAGGTTCAAGTCTTGGATAAACTATAAGTCAATTGCCTTTTCACATCAGTCTGCGAACCAATCCATCTTCATTATACATAATGCCTGCCGTCGCACACGCTCGACTTGACTGTTACTCCCTATAAATTTCACCTAAGGCAGATTTGTCAGATCGATGTAAGTTTAATTGGAGTCAAACTAAGTCATAAGTAATCCGGGACCCCCTGTAATGTATTCAAGTTGAAGTTTCGCGTGATGCTAGTGTTGTTCTTCGCTGTTGTAACCTGCTTCCTATGAACAGGAGCGTTCGTCAATAGAAGGGAACTTATACTAACTTCAGAGGTAAAATTGCAATGGGCACACAAGTACCAGCTACTGTCATAATCGACCACTATAAGCCAAGAAATGGAGAGATTGTACGAGCCCCTTCCCACTTCAGTTGGCCCACTTCAATATTTGTACCAAAATATGCCTTTATAAAGTAAACATGACAAAACTATTTACTTCTAAAAACACTCTAGTCGTAAAAAATACATATTTTAAATCACTTAGACCTATAACTATTAGAACATCTGAACAAAGAAACAATGTGCGAATAAATGCGCGATGTTAACAAAGCAACAATTGAAAGATTACCATTTGGTAACATCACCTTTACTTTTTATCACGGCTGAAATTCTTTGGGGCATAGTGTTAACCAAGTTTTGGCAAAAATTATGTGTAAAACAATCCCATATTTCTTGAAGCTTTTGTCTCAGTTCGGTGATTGTACGAGCAGGATGTTGTCGTTGAGCCTTTTTATCTCGTGCCACAAACTTTCAATAGGTGACAGATCTGGTCTGCTAGAAACCCATTTCAAAAGTGGTACATTATTTTCTTCCATCCATTTTATAGCCTTTTTTGAGGTATGGCACGCTGCACCTTCTTGCTGAAACACAAAATCTTGGCCGGATTTCAAACATTCTTCCATCACTGGTAAAAGCGATTCTTCTAAAATTGCCAAATATTTGCTTGTATCCACATTTCCATCAATAAAATGAAGTTTTCCTACTCCTTTTGATGACATACCGCCCCAGACCATAATGGATGCTGGAAATTTCACTTTTCTCTTCAGACATGGAATGCTTTTTTTGCGAATAACTCTACTGCGACTATCACCAACACAAACTTCGAATCGGGCCTCATCACTCCATTGTATTGCACACCATTCTTTAGCCCATCTAAGCCGATTTTTCTTTTGCAGTGGGGTTAATAGTGGCTTTTCTTTGGCCTATAAACAAGTTGTGCAACTTTAGGGTTTTTACTTCACTTTTTTTTATAAGGAAACTTACCTTGCAAGTGCTAAATCCCAGTTTGTGGGCCTCTCTATGAGTTGTGGACCTCGAAATTCTCCTTCCAACAGCGTCACTCCACAGAGCACTTAATTGTAAATAATTGGCACGCCTGTTTTTCACGATTATTCTTCTTAATGCTCTTCGGTCGGCATTTGTGGTATTACCTTTTTTCACATATCGTGGCTTAGAACCAGTTACATTATATCTTCTAACAATATTTCTCACACTGTACCGCAATAAGTCTAACAAAGTTGCAATTTCTAAGTTTGATTTCCCAGAATTAAAAAATTTAATTATCAGTAACCGAATTTTCTCACTAATAACCTTTCCTATACCCATTTTGAAAATCTTAACTACCCAAAACTATTTTAAAAGTATTCTGACAGCTGTGATTAATAAAAACAATTGTCATGGCTTTTATTTTTCACAGCCACCTATGCGTTATAGACTTATTTTGCATTGAAATGAAAATAGGTTGATATGCTGTAATTGCAACATGTGTTATTTTTATGCTGCAAATTTGATTAGGGTGTGGATAAAGTTGGTGTTTTCTACTATATATTATGAAAATATTCATTGTTATTATTTCAAACTTATAACACCCTGCTACATTTTTATTATTTGTGTTTGATAATAAAAAACTAAGATTTCAATAGTTGGGCCAACTGAAGTGGGAAGGGGCTCGTATAAGGAAATCCTTCAGTTTTGGCTATAGTAATTTTTTTTGCTTCCTAATGTTAATGGAGCTCCGACAATCTCAGGGGGTAACGGAGGGTGAATGGGAAATGGCAGTGGGCTGGGCTTGGATGGACGGCGGCGCTACTTTAGAAAAGGAAAGGATGACAAGCTGTGTAAATTTACATAATCACAGGTTCGGATTTTGATTGGCGATCTAGTCTGTAAATCCTTCCTTATTCTGGCACAGCAAATGATCGTTTAGTATTGTACGTATACAATCCATGTTGCTGTTTACCGATATGGTTGTGTTGTTATTGTTATGCCATACTCTTGTTGCTGGGATTTTTCTTGGTTGCCTCAAAGAAGCTGCATTTGAATGGTCACCGAAAAAAAAGGACTACTGCAGTGAGGAGTTGAAATGTGCAATTTTGAAATCCCACTACAGATAAAGTCAGTAAAAAATTGATTGAATAAAAATTCCGATTTTCCGTTTCTTTCTCTCTCATTTTCTTGACTACCTAAATACGCAACTTTGTCCCCATCTAAGCGACTTCGTTTCCGATATATCAATGATGAGAGTCGAATTTGAAATACCCGGTATTATAGAGAAAACGCATGGGTCACCAAATTCAGAAAAAGATGTGGGTGTAAAACTCACCAAATTTCCATTCTAAAAAACGGATGTTCGCTGATGTGATCCTAGGGCCCAAATAATCCACACTATGAATATCCGAATTTATACTGCCATACTTCGGCAATCGCAGATCGGTTGTTCCTGCATACCGGGATAAGAAGGTTCTTAATAATAGAACGTCTTTCACTGATACCCAACCCAGGCTTTTAACCCCTACAGATTTCCTTATGAAAATGTTTAGAAACCTCATAATTATTTTTTTCGTTTTTCCCCTAAAGCCCGGCCATCACTAGACAGATTTTTAAAAACTGTAAAGCTGTGTCATTTTATCAAAATGTTAATTTATAGACGGGCCAAGGATTAGCAGACAGGAAGGACGAATTGGACGAATTACAGCAGCATTTGAAATCATTCAAAACGAGTATCAAATTTTTAGTTCGGACCGTAGTGCCGTAGTGACACTTTTCCGGATATAGATCCCTACCCTCAAATGTTTTCTACTGTTATACTGAATAACCCCTAGAAGTTTAATCCCTTAGTTCTGAAACACCCTGTATAAAATAGGGCCACCAGGTTATCTGAATACGTCCTTTCTTAGTTCGTACATACGACGCGTCGCTTGGGCTGGTAGTACGAAACAGTAAAATTCGTGCAAAATCCGGTTTATAGAAGTTTTTTTTTTGGCTTTAGGACTAAGCCATGTAGCCAGATACTAGCTTGTATCTTTATTTATGTACAAACACACGACGTCACAACATCCATGGCGAAGGCGAGATTCGAACTCGCGACCCGGCCGACCGGCTGATCAGTAGCACCACACTCTGACCCACGCGGCCAACCGAGGTCACCTATAGAAGTTTGTGTACTTCACAACTTCAATCTTTAATATTTTCGAATCAAATTGTTACAGTGTGCTTAAAACAAAACCCCACAGGGTTAATTTTTTCCACTAGGCTTTTTTTTAAATTAACAAAGTTGCATAAAAATAGTAAGCATTTCAACCCATCAAAATTTTAAAAAGTGCGCCGATAGCACCCTGAGCAATTGTCTTCTGAATACACTGTATAAATTTCATTCAAAAATATTGAAAAATTGAGTGCCAGTTTCGAAGCGTTTGAATCCTAGTAAATGAGGTCCAGGTTATCTGCTTGCACCATTATTTCATATGAAGATACTTTCATAATCATTACCTATGACCAAGAATAATACCATTTTAAAGTGAATCCGTTTATGTACTGCCACGTGAAAGTGTAGTAAATTTAATATTTTTTCACAATTTGTGATGATTTTATTATGAAGATCAAGTTCTTTCACATCACTCCCATCCAACGAATTTCAATAGATTAGAAAGAGTAAACCCTATATGTGCACATTACTCATTTGACTACGAATGGTTTCCAAAGTGACAGCGTTTTATCAACATAATAATAATACTTGCTGGTGGAAACATCTACCTTCATTTAGCTTGTGCTTCGTAAATTATATAAGAAGTACAACATCATACCATACCAAATAATATAGTTTTATAGTATTAATTTATATATATTTTGAAATCAAATTTAAATCATCTGTAACATGTGCAAAAATTCAATATGCTATCCACAAGAAAAAATAAAATTGTTGATTAAGAACAAGAGACGAAACGCTATATTGAAATTCTAATTATGCCACGTTGCAGATAAAAAAAAGTGTTACTGTCAATGTGCAACATATTTCGAAATCATACCTCAAATAACGCCAAAAAAAAGAAAATAAAAATGATTTTGGGAAAAATCGTTTTCCTTCAACTATCTTCAGAAATACTCTGAATCGCGAAACTTTCTAAATACCATTTTTTAATTACCTAAATACGAGATGCCAATTGTCAGGGTAATATTTGAAAAACCCGGTATATCCTCTTATTCTTTTTATATATTTCCCATCTGTCTATTGCATGTCGTGTCTCTGCCTATCCCCAACGCCTCCTCCAACTATGCGCTGCCAATCAAGCCAACATCAGCAGCGTAACTCTTGTTTACATGTTTACCGCCTTGGATGTATCGCAGATGTCGAACGAGCAGGATTTGGGGGATGACGTATCCTCCATTTAAATAAATTACTATGGTAATAGCGGCAAGCGGCGCCTGCCTCCAGAACATAGTGGAGGAGCTTGGATCAACGTGTTGTCTCGGCAGGTCGTTACAGAACTAACTGAACAGCCCTGGGTGTATTAGGTTCGCACTAATAAGCTCCAGGAATTTCATTAAAGTCAGCAAAGGGATCGATTTCGATGGAAATTGTACTATGATTTGGAATACTTGGACAGCTAATGCTATTTTGTGTCATATTTCAAAGAAAGATGAAGATAACTGAATAATTATACTAATATTCATCTTTTTAATATACTGAGTGACAACAAAAGGTAAACAGCTACGTATGCTTATACGATTTTAATAATTTAAGGCATATACGTTCAGCGTCCCTTACTAGTAAAATAATTAAATTTTCAGCTTGATTCGTCAACTGACTGTAGAAGCTGGTTCAATAATGTGTTGAGGACCTACGATTTCTTATACACTCATTGACACGCCTGGTCATCGTGCTGATAAGGTGGTCGACATCCTGTTGGACTATCTCATTCCAGGCGACTGCAACTTCGTGAGTAAGAGCTGATAAAGTCTGTGAAGGGTTTTGCAAATGCAAGAGCCTGCGATCGATCATGTCCCAGACATGTTCAATTGGAGATAGTCAAACGTGGTGGTCAAGGTAAACGGTTGATGCGATGTTGATCCATGAAGGCAACGATGCTCTGGCAATATGCGGTCTAGCATTGTCTTGCTGAAAAATCGGGTTGTGGATGGTGTTTAGGTATGGAATAAGATGAGTCTCCACTACTTCCTGAATATAGCCTCGGGCTGTCATATTGCTTCTGATGAAAATTAGTGTTGGTCTGCTACCATAAGCAATAGCACCCCATACCATAACTTCCACGGTGTGGTGATCGTGACGCTGTCTGTCAAATTGTGGGTCACGTCTTTCAGCACGTCACCTTCTCACTTCGTCACTAAAGACCACCTGATCCCATTCCCGATCCCATAGAATTCTTTCTCGACACCATAGCAAACGTTGCGCCGATGTTTAGCTGTAGGAGGTAGCACTCAATGTGGGCGATAAGAGAAAAAAAAGGCCTGTCGGCTATACGAGTTCGATGGCCATATTTTAAGTAATAACCCTTTTGCATTAGTGTCAGCGAAATTTTATTTATAAATGTAAATTGGTCCTCAAACTAAAATATGAACATTTTGTAATTTTTTAATCACCATAAACACTTGAAA